CTTGGTGGATAAACATGGTAATTAGGATCAATATATCTCAGCTGTGAGCCAGGAAAGGTAATGTTGGTTACCCAGTCTACCTCCCTGACATTCACTATGTGACTCCCACTAGTTTCTCATCTCCTCTGAGATTTCAGTGTTTGAAAAGTAAATGCTCCCAGGAGTTCGAGAATTCCAAACACATTCAGGCATATCAGTTGTCAGGATCATTATTCTTTATACTTAAAGAGGCATAGCCATGGTTCTAGAAGATCCAAAATTTGACTTTAAAGGTATAATCCAAAGACAATCATCATCCAGGAATCTAAATATTTTTAAATTTACCACTTTATCAATGCAGGTAAAAGAAATAGATCTATGGAACTTGGTTCTCCAGGGCCAGGTAGCCAGAGCAAAGCGAGGTGAAAGTGGGTGTAGATTCCTGCCAGATGGGAATATTGCCACATCACACCTACTTTGTCCTGGTGGAAATGACAATGGAAAGGGTATCGCCAAACCACTATACCCCATACTGGGTGGGGACCCCATTCTGAAAGAAATCTTTCCTGAACCTCCTCTTCTGGCCTTCGACCAACTCCCCACCTCTCCAAGCTCATCATCAGAAGCAAGCTCTCCACAGACCAGGATGCACCTTCTCAAAGCGGCACTAGATGCTGCCAGAACAACAGATACAAAACCTGTAGACACATCTCCACTGATCAACACCCCCAACACACCTTTCAAGATCCATGGGTCCTACACACACCTATCACAACATGTGGGGTGCACCTCATCCAGTGCACTAAATGCTCCAAGAGCAACGATGTGGGTGAAACCAGACAATTGCTACACTCTGGAATGAACTCACACAGGAAAAGGATAAAAGACAACACCACCCTAACACTGGTGGATGAACACTTTTCACCAAGTGATCGCTCTATATCTGACCTATTGGTGCTTGTCCTCAAACCTGTACAACACCTTCAAAAGATGAGCCTGGGAGCTTAAATTCATAACTTATTCAACCTGAATAAGAGCTCTGTGGAAGCTTAAAAGCTTGTCTCTGTTACCAACAGAAGTTGGTCCAATAAAAGATATTCTTCACCCACCTTGTCTCTGTAACAGAAAGGATAAAGTGATTGAGAAACAGGCCCATTGTTTTTACAAAAAAGGCCTACACAAACACAATATTCTGTGCTCCCCCTGCTGGCAGTGCACTGCAATAGCAGTTGACATGCTCTTTTGCTCTCTGGTGATTTTGGGGCCACAGTTCAGTAATTAGTAGTATTCCTAGCGCTCTGTTGAAAAGGCTGCACACAAACAAAGCTGCTTTGTGACAATAACAGCAATGCACAGCTTCATTTAAAACACAGGAAAAGAAATAAACAATTAGCATTTGCCAAATGGAAAAAGGACAAAATATGTAGGAAAAAAGTATTTTCAGATTTCTGGGAAGTTTTCACAAACAATGGGGAGTAAAACACAAAAATTAAACCTGATTATATATTTTTGTATTACTTGACAGTGTCATTAAGGGAAAAAATACAGGCTGAATCCTTGACTTGGCAGACAACATCCAGTATAAATTGTGGACATTGGGTCTGGAGATTGAGCAGATAAAAAAAGAACCATGCATCCAGGAAAATACAGACATGTGTCACTCTTGAAGCCAGCTTTCTTTCCACGCATCTTTAGCGTCAAGTCTCTGCTTTAAAATAAGTCTTCTATGCTCATTTAATTTCCTTTGCAACCATGAAACAAAGAAAAAGCCAATCACCCTGAAGGTGGGTTTTTCCATTCTTGGCAGTGACTTTTTCCCCCTTAGAACACACCCTATTGAATCAGCCATTTCCCTGCCAGTACACTGCCCCAGCAAGGGTTAAATATTCCATGGTCAGTAAGTGAAGCCATGTGGCTTTGAATGATTGGGCAATTTCAGGATCCCAATGTTGCATTCTGCAGGGGGTGCCTAGATGGAGACTTGTCTTGTAGACTCTTCCATGGTGAACTCTTGGGAACACATTAAATGAAGTGCCCTAAATTCGCTTAACTGTGAATTCCATTTGGCAGTAATAGGGCAGTTGCTGTATAATAGCAGAGTTGCTGGATAATAGAATAGTAGCTGCCTATTTATATTTTGATTATTAGGGATGTGTGTATTGCAGGCTTAATAACTGTGTAATATTTTATTGCATAATTGCTCAGCTTCAAGTATATTTTCATAATTAGCTGCTATTTAGTTAACGTAAATATCTTGCTTATTAAACATAGCAATACATTTCTCGTTGTGATAGTTATTTGCATGAGAAGAACCCACATTAGCACAGCTTTCTGTTCTGGCACTGCTCTGAGGGTGACCACCTAACTAGAATTTGCTGTTATGTTTGAGGCGGGGGGTTTCATGGTGGGGAGTGTTTACTGTGCATTTTGGGAGTGAGTGTCTCTCTCGTTGTCTGTTTTGTGGATGTGGTGATACTGCGCCCGTGTGTGTATGTGCATGTGTGTCAATATGAATGGGCACGTATGCATGTCACACCTATGTTTGCACACACACACATGCTCACCTGTGTGGGTATATGAAGCTGGTACTGCCATGAGAATGTGAAATATGTCAAGAGACTATGAATTTTCCCTTATATTTACTGTGCTAGTTGCTGCTTGGTAAGGTGAGGTCTTTGGGGCAAGGACATCACCTCGTTACCTCTTACTTTACAGAGATGTCTGGATTCTGTTAACGCTGGATGTCACAGACGCAAGGACAGGTCTGGAAGGAGAGAATGTGTGCGGTCATCTGGCCAGCTGCAGATGGACGTAGTCGTTGCTGAATTTATCTGGGTTCCCCTCCACATCATGGCTATTTGGGTCTCCCCACATAGCACTGGTTTCAGAGTAACAGCCGTGTTAGTCTGTATTCGCAAAAAGAAAAGGAGTACTTGTGGCACCTTAGAGACTAACCAATTTATTTGAGCATGAGCTTTCGTGAGCTACAGCTCACTTCATCGGATGCATACCGTGGAAACTGCAGCAGACTTTATATACACACAGAGAATATGAAACAATACCTCCTCCCACCCACATAGCACTGAGAATCTAAAGGGACCTTAGTTACTTGTCCAAAAGTCACACATGAAGTCTGTAGCAGGGCAAAGAACTGAATGCAAGTCTTGCAAGGCCCAAGATAGCCTCCTCACGGCTAGACCAATCCTTGGTGCCATGAAGCCCAACTGAGAGGGATCCAAAATATAGGCTGCTGGCAGGTAGCACAGGAAGTTGCTTTTCGCTACCTTCGAGCCAGGTTGTGGAGTCATTATTCAGATTGTTGGTGAGTTACTCACCTGGGCAACAATGGAATCACCTGGGTGAATAATTCCTCACTACTGTAAGGGGTTCTCAGCCTGGCCCTTCTCAGTTAGACTTCGTTAGAAAAGAAGGTGCTAACAGTTTCTGTCAGACGAGCTCCCAGGTGTTCTCTGGTCTCTCTGACCATCCAGAACAGTGGGGTCAGAGTCACAGGCAGGGGGCCAATTGAGAAAAGTACTTGTGTGAATGGATCCAGTGCTTGCAAGGATGGTGGTGTGTTTCTGGTCCTGAACTTGGCTGGGTGTTCTTGATGACCCTGAAGCAGATGATGTGATGCTGGAAAAGCCGATGACAAGGAAGCTTTAGGTTCTGGGCATGAGTGGAGGTGGGCTGGGATGCCAAAGCAATTTATGGCCTGGAGAAGTTCTACAGGGCATGGCTCTTCTGCCTTTTTGGCAGAATAGCAGCAGGGCCTCTTTGCCTTCTTCAGAACTGTGGCAAACCTTTGCTGAAATTCAAACAGAAAAAGAGAGAAATCTGTTTAATAAATGATCCTTCTCAATTACTCGCCCTGCCCCAGCTGTGAGTATAAGTCTGACATGAAGATTGCTCCTGCATTTGTGAAATGAGGGCCCATTATGTACCTAAATAGACCTCTTGATACTTGGTACCTAAAGACTACAGTGATGAGTGCCACAGAAATATTGTCAGACAGACTGACTGAGTGAGGGGCGTTTTCTGATGCTGCTGGATGAAACCGTCCAAAGGGTTTTGTGCTTGTGTTTTCAGGCTCACAAATACTGGATAGGTTTCTTGTTTTGGTTCCTAAAGGCCACATTTCAGCATGTTTATTGTCCCTCTGCTTTACCGGGAAGGAAGGCTGAATGAGGGAATAACTCAGCTGCTGAGAACATGTTTATTATTATTATTTTATTTATTTATTTATTTTAGAGCTTTCGCAAAAACAGTGTGTACAAAAAAAAACCAAAACCCCTCAGTGCCAGGATGTATAATTCCTTCAGGAGCAAGGCTGATAGGAACACAAAAGCGTGCATGCTTCCACACTGTAACCAATATTTGCACATTGGAGTGACTAATTCACCACTCTGCACTGCAGAACAATAGGCATAATAGCAAAGTACATTAATGCAAAGTGCACTCGTCTGGTGCCTGGGTTATTTGACACATAAACAAGCAGAGGGGGAGGATTTGTATCTACCTGTATAACTGTACACCAAACAGCAGGTTACAAATGCGCTCAGAAAATGCTGACCCAGGGCTGCTCTTGTACTTCCTGCGCTGGATTGACACATGATTTGCAGCACTGCGGGAGTTCTATAGCTGACCTCATTAGCAGTGCATTTCCTGGCTTGTTAGCATCATATTTGTATAATTTACAGCACCTTCATTTTTATGGAATGTGTTCCTTGTAGAGTGTAATGGCAGCTATATATTTAACCTCTCCTCTTTAGGAATGTTGTTGCAGAAGGCAGCCTGGAGATATAAAAGGGATTTTTCCCCCCCTCCCTTCTCTCCCCTCTGCATGCTTTTTTTTGTTTTTGTTTTTTTGGCCTGGCTGCTACATATCCAAATATATGTGCAACCTGTAAAGTGTTCATAAACGGGAACGTGAAGCAGCACTTGGGGAACGGCAGCTTTTGCTGTACCTTTCCCAAGGTCAAGCCCTTAAATCAACACAATGTCACTGTCCCAAAGCCAACACTCAGCTGTTGAAAGAGGAATGAGACTCTCACCAAAAAGAGGAAAGACGGTTTTGTGGTTATGGCACTGGGCTGAGCTGCTGGTGATCTAGGTTCAATTCCTAGCTCTACCACAAACTCACTGTGTGACTATGGGTGAGTCACTTACCCCCTTTGGTCCTCAATTCTTCTACTGTAAAAGAAGAACAATAATAATCTGACCCTTCTGCCTTGTCCACTTAGTGTGTTTGTGTCTGTACAGCACCTTGCACGTTGTGGCCCTGATGTTGAGTAGGGCTTCTAGAGGCTATAACGATGAAATCTTTGTTTCAAAGTGAAGAAGGGAGGACTTGGTTCCTGCAAACTTCTTTGAGCCATGGGGCAAGGATACTGTGATTATCAGACGCCAGGCACAGAGGGTAGAATTTCCCCCTTTGCAGAGGCCTACAGCCATCTTAAATCTCTCTTAAACCCCAGGGGAGAATCAGAACTTGACAGAGAGCAGATATATTGAATAAGCAGGTGTCATTTTTAACATGGGTACTTTTTGGGATATAATTCCATTTCCACATACTGCCTTCTAGAATAGAGTATAATTCCTTTCCATTCAGGGAGGAAATCCCGTGTTTAAAAACCTGACCCAGCAGTATTGTTTAAAACCTGACCCATCGCTAACATGTGTGCTGATTTTCAGAGAGGTGCATGCAAGATGGGTATTGGGGTGTTTAGCTACTTAACTCGCATTAAAAATAATGGAGATACGTAACTGAAAAGCACCGAGACTCTTTGAAAATGTGATCCCTGCCAGAGTCCCCTTTAAAGGCCAAGAGGCCTTCTCAAGAACAGGTTTTGCAACAACAAATCCTGCATCTTGGCAGGGGGCTAGATTAGATTACCCTTGCAGTTCCTTGTACCCTGTGATATACATTCAAGAGCGTAGCAGCAGTGGATCCTGTATCTGGTTGCGTCTATTTAGCCACTGGCTCGGTGCTGCAATTTATACTTGTCTTTATCCTTATATGTTGCTCTCTGGGAATGTGATATATGCAATGGACAGGTCATGCAAAGATTCCTGATGCTGCAAAACTAAATGCAACTTGGAGCACAGTTTCCATCTGTGAATGCTACTAATTAACACCTACAAGGCAGGCCCTGACCTGAAAATATTGGTGTTCTCTTGAGAGTCAGAAGGGTGCAGTACCAAAACGAGTGACGCTCCCTGTGGGGCTTGAGTTAATGCCGGTTTACATTAGTAACTTGCCCATTATACCACCAAGCTTGGCACAAGTTTAAAGCAAAATCTGTGACTAACGAATCCCAGTCTGGATTTCAGAATTGGGCTCATTTCTGGCTTTGTTGGTGCCTTTCAAAGTGGGCAGAACCAGTGAATCAACAAATTGAATAGAAAATGACCCCCTCAAAGCGACTGCACAATCATGGGACGGATGCCCAGCAAGTATAAATGAAGTCAGGGGGTCAGAACCGTAGCTGGTGAAAACTGGAGTAGCTCCATTGGGGTAAAAAACAGTGAAGTTAGTGGTGGTGACGAGGAGCCAGGTGGACCGTCCTGGAGACTGGTGGCTTCTGTTTCGCCGCAGAATTTGTGCTTTATTCTTATTGGTATTCGTTGTACTGCATTAGCACCTACTGTCCCCCGTCAGGATCCTTGTGCTGGGCATAGGGTGACCAGACAGCAAGTGGGAAAAATCGGGACAGGAGGTGGGGGGTAATAGGTGCCTATATAAGAAAAAGACCCCCAAATAGGGACTGTCCCTATAAAATCAGGACATCTGGTCACCCTAGCTGGGCACTGCACTAATACAGAATAAACTATGATCCCTGTCCCCAAAAGCTTGCGGTCTGCACAGCAAGAGCTGCAGCAGTGTAAGCTGCCCCATATCACCAGGACACTGTGCCTTTGTATTGACCTTGAGGGGCCATGACGACAGGAAAGACTCTAGTTCAGCTTTATAGCCCCGTCAGTCCTTGAACTCCAGGGAGGGTGCCAGCAGGTTTGCCAGTTAACGCCAGCTCTGATGTGCACCCTCTTAAAAGCTGGACTCAAGAAGGCATTTTTGGAGACCCAAGAAGCACTTTATTGAAATTTATGAGGCTTATGAAGAATACTAACATTCTTTAACTTATCCATGTACATCCAGTTAAATCTCGGGTATATAGCACTGCTGTAGCAAATGCCTCTCCCAGAAGGAATTGGACTGAGAACTCACCAGCTCATTTTATGCGGGTCAGTAATGTCTTTGAATGCTTGTGAGCTTGAGGAGGCTTCAGACCGGCAGGGTAGAGGTGAAAGGCTCTGTATCTCATCACTGGTGTCCTAAGCTGTCTCTCCCCGCACCTCCCCTTGTTCCTCATTTTTAATGAATTCTTTTGCATCCCACAGGGCTGTGTCTCCAAATAAGTGTCGTTCCAACCTCATTTGATAATTGCTAACTAGGTGGGCATGGCAACTGCTTCCATATTCAGTCCAAATATCATCATCATCATATTAATCAATTCCACCACCGAGGCCTCATACTAAACTGCCAAGTCTATGAAGCTGAAGTGAAAATTAAGAAGTGCTGGCGTTCTTCCCCAGGAGACAAAGTTCTCCGAGTCTGAGATACCGGATCTCCTCATGCTGCAGGGAGCTGTTTGCGAGGTTAAGAAGGGACTGCTGTTCTCTTTGGAATCAGGTGCATCTCCATCTGCTCCTGCAGGTATGTCCGATGTCTTTTCTTGTAGTGGCAGTGTTTCTCTTCTGAGAAGGCCACCTTTTTGTTAGGGAATGAAACTACTAATCTGGATAAAATTAGATTAGTTCTGCACCTTCACCCACCACCATGCAAGCTCAACCCCTGCATTTCCAACCCATCTGAGACCCAGACTATGGCAAATCTCATTAGCATATGGGTGTGTGTGTGTGACTGTGAGATTTCTGGCCTAAGATCCAGATCAAGAGGATGGATGTTTATCCCTAGGCCTCTGATGGTTAGAAGCTGGGACTGGATGACAGGGGATGGATCAGTCAATAATTGCTTAGTATTATTAATTCTCTCTGAAGCATCTGGCACTGGCCACTGTTGAAAGACAAGATACTGGGCTGGATGGACCATTGGTCTGACCGAGCAGGGTCATTTTCATATTCTTATATTTGTGTTTTAAGGCTCTGTCTCCTGTAGGACCATATAACAGATTGGAGCATACGTCTATTTAGTTCAGGATCCTGTCTTGGAGAATGGCCAGTACTGGATGCTTCAAAGCAAGATGCAAGAAATCTGTAATGGATAATTAGAGAATAACCTGCCCATTGGTCAAGATTCTTCCTGTCTTCCATCAGCTAGTGGTTTGCTTATGCTCGAAAACATGAGGATTCCTATCTTTTCAAATTTGGTTTTAATTGATGCTATCTAATTGATGCTATCTAATGTATTGATGCTATCTAATGTAACAGCAGTGTTCCTCTTATCCATATAAATGCCCAACCCATCACTGTATCTATGAAGCTCTTGTTCTCAGTGATATCTTGTGGCAATGAGTTCTGCAGATTAATTATGAGTTGTGTAAAAATGTATTTCCCTAGTTGCCTTTCACTTTAATTGCATGTCCCCTTGTTCTTGTATCGTGAGATGGGGTAGTTAGGAGCATCCGATTTACTTTCTCTGTCCCATTCATTATTTTTTATTCCTCTACCCTGTCCCCTCCTGTCCTTCTCCTCTCTCAACTAAAAGAGCCACTGGTAGTTGAAACAAGCTGCTCCTACCAAAGGGAAGCTGCCTCCTTAGCTTTGCCTGTTCAGAATGCTGCCTGTCGGTTCACAGCTGGGGTGCTGGCTGGAGCTGCATGCAGGATGCACACAACTGCCAAGTTGGTATGTTGATGATTTATTTATATGATCATAGTGTCTAGGAGCCCAAGTCATGGACCAGGACTCCACTGTGCAAGGTGCTGTACAAACAGAACCAAAACACAGTCCCTGCCCCAAAGAGCTTGATCGTGTCAGGTTGTGGTCAAAATAAATGAAATGGAAATACATTTCTCACTTCAACTAAGATGCAACCACTGATACCATCAGAGAAGACCTGGCCTTGATCCAGCAGTCAGATCTGCATGGGCACAGGGGTCCAACTGCAGGATTGGGGCTTAAAAAGCCCTTTTCTGCCACAAAGCAGACTCAGAGGAGAATTTCATTGGTATCTATTTATTTACCTCGATTCATATTGACAGGCACTTGCCCCATGCTCTGGGCATTGTTACTTTAAAATTCACATGATTCACCAACTTGGTTTAATAAACAGCCCCACCCACGCCTTATAATCACAGCTGACAAATAAGAATATTGATCCAATAAATAAGAGTCCTCCTTCCTTCAGGCCTTTGTGCAATGCCCTAGGCAACGAGCTGGACCTTGCCACCTGATTCCATTTCTCATTTACACTGGAAACTCCACTGACTTCAGTGAAGTTACTCTGGATTTACGCCAGCAGAGGGGAGAGGAGAATCAGGCCACTGGGCTCTACCGTGGAAGGCAGACAAACCTTCCCAAGCAGCCCATGTCAGCACAGAACACTCAGCTCAGTCCAGATCAGCCCAAAACACACCCCTCAGCCCTGCCTGACACCCCCCGCCTCCCTCACACACACTTGAACCTAGCCCAGGTTGACACACCTCTTCCAGCCCAGCTCATACCAGTCAGTTCCTTCTCATTCTGTGGAGTCTGTCTCTCTCTCTCTCCTTACAAATGGCTTTGCAGCAGCCCTGGGAATGAAAGGCAGCACCAATAACGTCTCCATGGCTTCTTGTTAGCTGCACTCTAAGCAGGAAAGTGACTGGCCCTGACAATATAATTTACATTGCTGTATAAAACTATCTGTGGAAGCCAAGCTAATTTGTGCCAGATTAGGCTATTTGTCTCAGCCACTGTCTAACGGCACAATCTATCAGAGGGCTGTTTTCAAATATCGCTTTTCAAGCGTGCCCTTGAGAGGCAGGAATTGATTGGGATCTTAGAAAGCAAAATTACAGCAATAACTTAAAAGAAACAATAATTACTGAATCATACTAGTGTCAGCACTCTGCAAAACACGAAATAGCCATCAAACCCCAATCCAATACATTCTGAAGCAAATTTATTGAATGGAAAAAGCAGTTGAGTGAGGCTTTTTCCTCCCCCCTTTCCCTTCAGCCCCTCTCTCTCCCTGTACATATGGTTATCTCAAAACCACAAGTGAATGAGTCGATAATTCTTGTCATTGACTGCTCCATTTTCAGAGAGTCAAGAAAAGATCCATTAGCTCCCTCCTGGCTCGGTGTCTCTCCCCTTCCCCTCTAGTCATTTGCTAGTCTGTGCTCCTCAGGCAAACAAACATATATAACTAATCATCTGTTAAAACGTTGAGTCCCCTAATAAATCTCCGCAGCTGAAATACTTTAATGGGTAATTAATTGATCCTGTTCCAGAGGAGTAATAAGATAATAAATTAGACAATATTTCACTCAGTTGTGTCAGTGTACTGCTAATGGTGGTGTAGGGCTAAGCTGAAGGATAATAAATTAGCCAGAAATTAACTGCTAAGAGCTTTCTGCAGAGAAATTGGCTGACAGGCAAGTCTCCATGATTTAGGGCCCTGATGCCATTCTGGTGTTCTCCTCTCACACACACACCCCCCAATATGGAAGCCAGTGGCAGCTGATGCAGGAAATTCTGAGGACCTGGGCACTGCCAATGATCAGGTGGGGGCAGTATTCCAGTGTGCAGTGCCCTGTACCACCAGAGCATTCCAAATATCTTCTGAGACGCTGTTCAGAGTCTGTTGGAAATCGGGCTCATCTTTATAATATTTAAACCATGTGGCAAGGAGCAATACATAGCGTGACTACATCATCAGCAGATTTATTGCAATCCAGTTGCGTTGCATGTAGGTAAATTACTTTTGTGCTGACTATAAAAACTGTCTCTATGGCAAGTTATTACCCATCCAGCTAAAAAAAAAGGAAATATTTTCCAGTGCATCTGCCATTTTTCATAGAAAGGTATGGTAGGAGCATGTAAAAATATGACATTATGGGACCAATCCGCAACTTGGGTAAAGCGGCATAGCTCTGTAGCTAGGATGGGGAGTGGGGGGAGATCTGGCCTCTTCAAAAGTTTAACACATTATAAAATTATCCAATGTTTCCTACACATGCACAGACACATGCCTTCTGAGGAGCAAAGAGGATGGGGATAATGATTTTTTTATTGTGCCAGAAGTATACTAGGTGCTTCACAGACAACAAAGGTGGGAAGATACTGTCCGTGCAGCAAAGAGTACACCTGCCCCATTTTAGGCCAAGATTTTAGAAACAGACTAGTGATTTGGGGGTCTTCATTTTTGGTTGCCCAACTTGAGGTCTCCCCACAAAGGGATCTAATTTTCAGAGCGAGGGCAAAACTCCCGTTGACTTCAGGGGAGTCAGGATTTTCCCGGTGGGAGGCTAGGCGCTTTCTGACAACCAGGCCCCATTAGCTCAAGCTAGACACCCCAAAATTACTTGGCCTTAGACATCTCGCAGTGAGTGGGGGGTAGAACACAGGGAAGCTGGGACAGGGCAGATGAGGAAGATACCTGCAGCTGTGTGCTCACGGGGCTGCTCAGGCATGTCTACGTCATGGAAGTTCTGTTATGGTTCATAGCAACGTCAGGAAAATAAAGATATGAGAGAGTGAATATCATTGAGGCAGGTCCTGCTAACAAAGCCCACTGAAGTTAATGGGAGTCCTTCCACTGACTTCAGTAGGCTCTGGCTCTGGCCTTTGTCATGGGCCTTGTGTAAAAAGAGGTGAGTCTCCAGGGACAATTCAGATGAGGAGCCGGAAGCACATACAATGCTCTGCATGATCCCTGTAAAATGAGGCATGGCACTAGATGCATGGCTGTCCATTGCAGGTCTGACCTACTGGATTCAATTACGGGCAGGTACTTACACCACTCCCATCACAATGGTAACAGATCGCTTTGGTTGCAATGGTACACATGCTATCACCCGGGCGACCCCATACGAACCGGTCTCCATGGTTCAGTAAAATAATGGGGCCCATATGGGTGTAGATTGGTGGCATTCCACTGAAGTCAGTGCAGCTCTGCCAGTGTACATGGGCAGTGAATTTGGCCCACAATGCTGCAACATTTTCTCCTACCCAAAGCGCTGTGGAGGACTCCTGTGTCGGGCTGAATTAACAGGACAGAATGAATTTTTGATGCTGTATTTATGCCCCCTACATCCCATTCCTGGCTCTGACATATGTAAAGTTGCAATGGTCCTGGCTTTGGTTTAAGAGCAGCAGATCCAGTATTTTAATAGAGGCACCAGCTGCTCCGTAGCGGGAGAGGGCACTACACACAGGGAACGAGGCCCAGTAGGGTACAGCCATGAATGCTGAAGAAACCTCAGAGTGGCTGTGTGCTTGAAGGAATTGTACCGTAAACCTGCCTACCAATGCAGCCCATGTTTGACTCTGCTGGAGCTTGGAGAGGTGAGATGGATTGTCTCATCACCCCCTCCACACCAGTCCATTTATAACCCGCTAATCCCAACATTTGACAATTGGATAGCCTTTGATTGATGCTGAGCTGAAAATGGGCCTTGCAGATCCTCACCCTGCTATCAGCTCCTTTGCCATTCAAGGGAGAGCAGGAGGATTTGGGTCCACGGGCTGTGCCGGGAGCTTTGCAAATGC